AGGCATCCCGAGCAGTATATGGTCAGGAAAGCGTGGTCAGGAGAGCGAAGGCAAGGTCGCAGCAGAGTCCAAGCTCGAGAGCTAAGTAGCCTGACGCGCAAAAGGACGAGACGTGATGAGACGTGATGAGACATGATCTCCTGGAACGTCCTACACAAGAAAGACAAGCAGAAAGAGATGTATAAGTGGAGAAGTTTGCCCAGAAATTAGATGACCTCGATCGACAGAGACACCGATGCGAAACGAGCGTAGTTTCTCCCATGTCAAGCCTCAAAATCCACACGAGGTGGTATTTCCGCGAAAAGCAAAATCATCGAACTTTCATCCATGACCGGCCGTGACCATCCGTGATGGACCGTGATGGACCGTGATGGATCGTGACAGCCGTCGAGAGACCACGGACGCGGACGATCACACCCATAACAGCATAAACAGATAGTTTTGTCCGGTAACCGACATCGAACCGTTCTCACACAACGACCATGTCCGACCCAACGCCTTCTGCAGGAGCAGAAGCTCCTCCATCAAAAACATCGATTACTCGAGAAAAACCTTATCAAGACTGTATGTCTTGTCGCATCATCGGAACCGGAGCCCTCGCAGGCGTCGGAATAGCTGCGTTAAACAAGTCCCGAGCACACCAACCTGGATCACTCATGGGCAAGAGACTTATGGCTGGAATGGGTGTCTTATTTTTGATTGGTAGCTACTCAAGGTGGACAATGTGGTAGGTCATATTTTGATTGAAGTCTATCAGACTTCGACAAAGTCATAGCACGGACGCATCACTGAAGTCTCTGGCTCTTCTGCAGAATGGGTACACGATAACAATACGCACAAAGGTCACACAGCTTATAAATGTTATATACTACATTTTATCTATCAACACTTTTACCCTCGCAGGTAATGATCCAGGATTCACGAATACATAAATGGCCCTGTCCTGAGTGCATACTCTCCTGTCTTGATACCCTTTTCTAGCGTGGGCTTCCAATCTAACGATTTTTTGTGGGTCAGTTACTAGAAATATATCCTATTACCATACACTCACCTCTCAGACCCCCATGTGTATAAAAGGAATCCACTTCACGAAGTCCTTCTCCCCATTTTCGTTGCGCAAAGATGCCACCGCGAGATGCAACGCTTTCGCCGCCGTTCTGTCTTCGCCAACGTGCCCCTGGTCTCTCATAAGATGTGAGTAGACTTTATCCGCGACAAAGTGTCCCTCCTTGTCTCCAATCGACCACATCGTTGCAAAGACGCTTCGATAGCCCGCCATGAGCATCCCTGCGGCAAGATGGATCGCCTCTTCTGGACGCTGATCGTCACCCGTTGCTGTTTGGCAGGCGGACAAAAACGCCATTTCCGCAAATTGAAACGATTTGGCCATGATTGTCGTTAACTCGAGTCGCCCGTCTTGCAATAAAAAGGCGCTGTTGGTCGGATCCTCAGGATGCTGAACGCCATGGCATGCTAGATGGCACCAGCTAGACTTTTCCATGCCCTCGAGTACGGCATCCACCGTGGCCTCGCTGTCGTTCAACCAGCGAAAGCTGAGATTATCGAAGTGTTCCTTGATGGCTTGAACTTCCTGCACGGTTCCTGGTAGGCGCGATTGACCTGGTGTCGCAGGCTGTGATACGGCGAGCAGCCCGCGGAACGGTTGAGTTTTCCTCTTCGACGCTTCGAGCAAGGCGGTCAAAGTCGGAGTGTACGATGAAATGACATGATCAAAGACCCTTTGATGACTCTTTCCCTCGTATCTCCCAGCAGCGTGGAGAGGAAGAAACGCTAGCGGACCTGTAGCGCACCAGGTAACGTGCGGAGGCGAATGGTCTTGTACGGCGGTCTATCGGATATACATTAGTGCACTTGATCCAAATGTGTTCCTGACACACATACCATGTAACCTAGGCTTTGTAGTATAGGTTCTACAACCGTCGACCACAAGGTTCCCAGTAAACGAGGCATTTGACGAGCCATGGTGGGACCGTGTCGTACCAAACCACGGGCACTCACGCCTGCATCCCGCAGTATTTGCATCAAGGCCTTTCTCAGATTCTCTGCCTTTTCGTAGTCCAAAGCGGAGAGCGGCACATGGATAATTGAGGATGCACCGTGTCCAAGGACAAGCGCATCGCAGCGCGATTTGTGAGCATTCAAGAGGACCACAGCTCCGTTTTTAGTGACAGGTAGTAACTCAGAAAGCGTTTTCGGCAGGAGGAACCTTTCGAAGCCAGAAATACTTCGAGCTTTGGCTACTAATTGTGCGTATCTGTCCGCGAGGAGATGGTGTGCGTGTGCTTCGTTCTCCCAGGTTAGCCCCGCTGGAGTCTTTGTGTGGCGTCGTGCACGCACGCTGCGTGCTGTACCGGCGTGTTCCAGCTGTTGTGACACAAGCTCGAGCTGCTTCGCAAGGTCTGGGTGTGCTGCTTGGAGGTCACCCACTGATGTGCGGAGATGTAATATCTGACCCCATATGATGGACCGGCCTTGCTCCAAGCACTCGACCGCGAGGCCATATTCCTTGAACGATATTGCCGCCGCCGCCGCCGCTTCTTGACCGCCTCGCGAATTCCGTTGAAGGCTAAAATGTCGTACCGGCTCACGACCTGTAGACCTAGCCAGACGAGGCGCGGCAATATGACGAAGAATTGTCTATAGGCATCCAAGCATGCATCTTTGTTTCGGTCCAAAGACAATTGTCCCCACTTGCGTGCTGACTCTAACTGGGTAGACGGTAGCCCTATCTCCCAGCATGCTGATAAACGGTAGTTTGATATAGCTAGTTCGGCATCTGCATCGCCCCCCGATAACTGAAAGCGTTCGTGGTACACTCGTGCGAGGTTACGAAGATACCGAGGTTTTGTTGCATGTCTGTCGGGCGTCAGTGCGACAGCTCGTTCGTGTGCAGAAATAGCTCGATCAGCATCAGCTCCATCTGCATACTTCTGAAAGCGAGTGAGGTACGATGTTCCAAGGGTGCTAAGGCACGGTGCCATTTCTGAATGATTATCTGACAGGAGTGCAACTGCTTGCTCCTGCAGTGAGATAGAATGTCCAATGTCGTCAGGATTATGCGAATGATTGAACCGAACAGTGTAAGAACGTCCAAGGCTACTGAGATAGCTGGCTTTCCCTGTGCTGTCACCTTGCGTCAGTTCGACAGCCTGTTCTCTCGCAACAATAGCACGGTCGAGGTAGGCGATATCCTTCGTACTGTTGTATCGGTGGATGAAGGAAATGGACTGATTGGAGAGAAACTGCGCCTTGTCTGCATGATCGTCAGGGAGAAGTTTGATGGCTTTATTCTGGAATTCAATAGCGCGAGTGGCATCGGCAAGGTGTCCTAAACGCTCATAACGCGAAAGGAAGCAGGTGCCAACTGACTCCAGGTATGCAGCTTTGTCAGGATGTCTGTCCGACGCGAGTGTAAGTATTTGTTGTCGGAGGGAAAGAGCACGATCAATATCCGCAACATCTTGGAGGCATTCGAAACGAGACATAATGCACGCTGCGAGGTTATGGAGACGTGATGCCTTCACTGTCTTGCCGCCTGTATTCAGAGCGGCAGCTTGTTCAAGCAATGAGATAGCATGGTCAATATCGGCGATTTCGCCCATTCTTTCGGATCGAGTCTGGAAACAGTTGGCCAGATTATTGAGGTACCCGGCTTTTCTAGGATGGCTGTTGGGCGTGAGTGATACAGCTTCCTCGAGCGTGGAGGTTGCTCTAGAAAGGTCATCCAGATCTCCAAGACGCTCGAATCGTGCAAGGAGCGAGTTCCCAAGATTACTGAGTCGACCGGGCTTCTTAGCGTCTCCATTGCCTGTCAATGCGATGCTCTGCTTCTGGACATCAATAGCCCGGTGTATATCATTGAGATCACCAGTCCGCTCAAATCTCACGAACACGGAGGTTCCTAGGTTATTGAGGCGCCCGGCCTTGTAAGCATGGCTATCAGGTATAGCTGCCACGGAATTCTCCTGCAGTGCGATAGCATGGTCAATGTCCGCAAGATCGCCCTCGCTCTCGAATCGGCGCAAATATGCAGTTCCGAGGTTATTGAAGAGAGCGGATTTATTATCGTGACCGTCAGCAGTGAGCGCCACCGCCTGCTGATGAGCAGAAATTGCATTGTCAATGTCCACCTTGAGTCCTTGGACTTCGAATCGACACATGAACGAGGTACCCATATTGGTCAGATACCTGGGCTTTCCCTCGTGGTCATCGGGAGCAAGTGAGATGGCCTCCTGAAGACTGGAAATCGCGCTGTCAATGTCAGGGAGGTCTTCAAAATTCTCGAAGCGGCTACGAAAGCAGTTTCCGAGGTCATTAAGAAACTCGGCTCTATCGGAATTACTATGGTCTGCGAGGTTGGTAGCTCGAGAGAGGACATCAATAGCACGATCAATGTAAGTGCGATCATCATCGTGCTCGAAACGTCGTCGCAGGGATGTACCAAGATGATTGAGAAGTACAGGCCTCTGGTTGTGTTCCTCAGGTAGAAGTGAAATGGCCTTCTCGAGGGAAGATATGGCTCGGTCAAGATCATCGATGTTCCCTGACGAGTCAAACCGAAGGAATAGGTCTTTCGCGACGTCATGTAGGGAGGTCCAGGAGTTGGATTTATTCACTGAATTGGTGACACCTAAGGACGGTCCATCCACAGGGGTCAACGCCGACGCTGATGGCCCAGGAGACAAAGTTGGGGCATTTTCGGGGAGTGGTAACTTCAAGGAGAGGTTTTCAATAGGTGGGCATCATGTAGGATGCAAGATCTCAGTAAGTACAAGAGATTAATAGAGATTAACTTACATCTAAAAGTTCTCCATTAGTATCAATTTCCTGTTCGCAGTTACATTTTTGCTATCAATGCTGTCTTTGAATGAGGGCTGCAAGTATACGCACCTCCTTCAAGTCCTTGACTTTGCTCACAACGGGTCGCACGACCGTTTGGCGGGTGCTCGGCGATGAATCAGAACCCAAAGTCTCCATCGAAATCCTTCCTTTACGATGAATATTCAGGGGCCGCACAAATTTTAATGGATAGAGATAGGAACGGCATACCTCCCGATGAGAAGTACTTAGTCTGCCTAGAAGGAAAGCTGAGGCAGCCAGAGTGTCGTCCGGGGCAGTGGGCCCGAAAAGGAAGTCCGGGACTCTATCGGACCGATGACGTGCCACCTCCGTTGGCCCGATTCAGTACAACACCATTATTACCCTTCATACCCAACTGCCACCATGTCCCTATCTCTTGTCGCCAATTCTTACCTCGACGAGAACAGCTCGAAGATACGGGCGAAGCCTGTGCCATGGGAGGTACCGAATTCGAGCTTTATTTCCTCTGAACAAGCATGCTAAACATAAATCATGACATCCAGGGATACCAACGCGCGGGACTAGTAACGTCGGAAGAGCTTGCACTCATCAAGAAAGTGGATAGGCAGCCCAAGGCGAAGACAGAGTCTATATTGCTTTCGGATGGACAGACTTATGCGCTGCTGTATCTTCGACTGCTGAAGAAGCTGCAGAGAGTGGATACGATGCAATGTATCCTAGTGTTGATTGCGGATGCTTTGACCGGTGCGTTTTATATGTTCTGTAATATGTCTTCGGTTTCTGACATATTTACTGCGTAGATCATGACGAGCGGATACCTCTGTTCACGCGTGCAGCAGAGTCAGATCCAGACCTACCATACGGTGCACTTCTCCAGTACGGCTAGTCATGCTATTGCACTTGTCTCGTACTGAACTGTATCTAGCGCTGTTTCCAATACCGACGACTTTGTTCAGTTGAAGGCATCCCAGATCTTGACGGTCTTACTCAGGTATGCTTACTTTCTAGTCTCACTACCGCGTCGTGTCGATTAGCAGCCAACGCGGATCTCAGTTCTGAACAGGCCCCATTACAATCACAACAACTCCAACCATTCCTCACTACTCTCGCATCATTCGTACAAGGCCAAGTACCAAACAAAAGGGATGTGGCTGTCCAGTGTCTAGAAGCTATCCTTCCCCGTGCCGAAGTTCGGAAAGCAGTGTGGGCGATTCCTGGTATCATCTCTGGGTAAGAGAGTTTCGTGGTATTCTCGTGTATCTCTTATATTAACGAGGAGACGGACATTGGAAGGTTGATCCAAATATTGAAGAACAAACCCGGACCCCAGATGAGCTATCAGGTCGGCTTCTGCTTCTGGCTATTATCCTTCGAGCAGGAGATCGCCGAGCAGCTGAACAAGTAAACTTGTCCTCGAGTTGACTATGGACTTTACAGTTGACCGTCCTATTTTGCTCGTTTTCAGGAAGTACGATGTCATCCCCCTCTTCGTTGATGTAGCACAAGGAGCCGTTAAGGAGAAAGTCATCCGCGTCTTCGTTGCCACCTTCAAGAACCTCATCATCAAAGCCCCTGCCGCCAACCTACCCGCCATGCTCGTCGCCGAACTGCTTCCATTCGCGAACAACCTTTCATCTAGGAAATGGTCTGATGAGGATATTCCTGAGGACGTGCAGTTCATTCGGGACGAGCTCAAATCTCGTTTCGAGTCGCTTTCGTAAGTTCTGTCAAGTCCATTCCTGTGTCGTTTGGTCGTTGATGCCATTTTCTTGGAACAGGACATGGGACGAATATTCATCGGAGCTTGCATCCGGCCACCTTTCATGGACGCCTGTACATGAATCAGACATGTTCTGGAAAGAGAACGCCGTGAAGCTCAACGACAAAGACCATGCTGACCTCAAGTTCGTCTTCCGTCTTTCGTCTTCTTATCTGCGTGATCTCGATTAACCTGACTATCCTGCAGGCAACTCATCAAGCTCCTCCAAGACTCTCAAGACCCAACAGTTCTCGCTGTCGCCGCTCACGACCTTGGTCAATACGTCAAACACTACGAGCGTGGAAAGAAGTGTGTCCGGTTCCCTTCGCCTCCCTATTCTGCACCGCTATCATCCTCTGTATTTGACTGCATGCTGACTGATGGGCATCGGTGTGGCGTTGGCGCGACAGGTTGGTTACCGACTTCGGAGCCAAGACGCGTGTCATGGAGCTCATGTCGCATGGGAACCCGGACGTGCGATACCAGGCTTTGGTCTCTGTACAACGTCTTGTCAGCCACCCTTGGCAATCCGTGTAATCATCCAGGGGACTTGGAGGTGTAGCTGCTCGACTACGCGCGATCAGGGAGGCGAACAATCCTGGGACATGGACGGGCAAATAGCGTATGGCGGAGTACCCACGTATACGATTGCAAACGATGGACTATGACTGGAAGAGCAAGGAATACAATCCGAAGTGTGAGCTTCGTGTAATGGCCTGTAATGATGGGTGTCACTTATATTCATCGCATAATCATGGAAAAGTCTGCGCTTCTACTTCGGACAGACCGTACAAGATGTGGCTTCATATTTTTAGGCTTTACGATTTTTCTATAGAGACGGCCGCAAGTACCATGCCCTTATATCCTCCTAGTGAGAGGCAAGATAATCATACCACAACAAGGACGACCTTCAAAATAACGCGCGAGGCCAACACTGCAGGAAGGGCATCTTTATGCGGCGCTTGACTCGAGATGGCCCTGATGCACTCCCGGAAAACACTAGTAATCCAAGGTGTTCCATTACTTCTCGACAAGTTAAAAAAGTGGGCTCGCAACGGGCAGCGGATAGACCGAGAAAATAAGCGATGACATTTCTTGGAGTTCTAATCCTTCGATACCGATGCAGCCTCTTGCATGTCGTTGCTTCGGCGAAGGGCATGGCGTAAAACCGCCGAGAAACAAACAGGACAAGGAAACAAACAAGATATAGATGCGTAAATCAAGTCAAAAATACAGCGACAACGGGACGAGAACACCACATGAGAATCTACGCGTCATACTATGAAGCAAAGCGGCGTTAGCATGCAATGCTAAAAAATCGTACTCGTGCTGCAAGTGGACTTACCACCAAATGCATCGCACCAGGCCACGGCGAAAGTGTCCCATTGGGCGACATGTACACGCTCGTCTCGGTTTCGTTGACAATGTCTACAAAGGACTGGAGCTTTCCTGCATTTCCCGCAGCACGGCGAACGTTCTTCAACTTGAAGACGACCTTGACGATCTCCGCAATGGTCTGTTCGGCGCTGCACAACCAGCGTTGGTATCAGGACCGCTCTTCCGTCAGTTGGACGGGGGAATGTACTTACTATGTGACTCCAGGGCAACCGTGGAAGCCGCATCCGTTGAGGTTGTAGGAGGTCTTGTTGCGAGAGGGATCAATATTCATGGGATTGGGGAAATCGTCGGGCTGTCCGCGTATGTTGATGCAAAGCAGAGCGTCAGCAGATCAGTCAAGACCGGATGTTTGATGAGTGCAACGCGACTCACGTTGCGATGAGCATTCTTGAAGCTCGCAAAGATGATGTCGTCGGGCTTCACTTCTATGTCCGGGTAACCACTGCCTTGCTGGATGCGTGTCGAAACCGCCGATTTACGCCAGAGACCAACGAACTGCGGGTGCAGGCCTGCATTGACACCTCCGAGTTAGAACGAGCCGCCCTGAAACCGATTGACGAAAGGAGATGGCACAATACGCACGCATTGCCTCCCTAACATATCCACGCAGCAACTGCAAACTCCCAACATCCGAGTCACCCTTCTGAGCCAGCTTGATGATGACTTCACGCTCCTTAGCATGAGCGTCGTCGAGGTAGAAGTCAACGACGTGAACGGCAGCTGCATTGTCAAGAGAGATCTGTCAGTTCTTCTCGTATCGCGCAGTGCAATCAAGTGGCATACCCTGAGCGTAGTTCACCGAGGAGCCGATGGCGAGACCGATAACGTTGGCGATAACAGCATTGATCCCCTTACCAGACTCCGCTAACTTCCTCAAAAACGCAACATACGGCTTGTCGGGTGGGGCGTTGAAGTAGCTGGCCACGGTAGCGACGACGCTGACGAGCGTGTTCTAGCATTAAATATCAACATCAATCCCAACTTGGTATCAACAGGGCATCTCGCCAAAGGTATCACGTACGGAGGCAGTACCGGGAGCGACACCGAGGAGGGCTTTGGCGATCATGGCTGAGATGACACCTCCGCATTGCGTTGAACGCCAACGAAGGGAAGCGCCGTTCTCATTGTCGCCGAAGGCCAAGAACGCAAGCCTGTAGAAAGAGTTGTCAGTACGATCCTCAGGTCCGCCTACAGAGAATACCTACTGGAACTATGGGAAAGTCAGTCTCCTGAGTCATTGTGAGAACCCCACGAGGGAACTGAACACGTACCAAATCCGCAAACATTTCATAGATTTCGGCTTCTGTGTACAACCCGCTAACGTTCTCTTTGGTTTTGAGAGGGATGCCGCACTGTACCAAGTCCAGAACATATCAACTCTGATATACCGATCGCCATTCAAATCGTCGATACGCACCAAATGATCCGCTGCCCATTCCACGGAAACCGAGTTGATGACTTGAGTGACGATGTCAATGTAAGTGCCCTCCACGTTGGGATATTTCCATGAGCGCTCCTTGATCCTCTTCGTCACGCCGTCACGATAGAACGCGCGGTACTGATCGAGCGAGTCTTTGGAAGGGAACAGAGCGTGCAACGCCTGTGACAAAAAAAAGTATGAGCCCCAGGCAGTGAGAGGAGTTGGACCGTGCGCGTACCATTGTTCTGTCGCTATCGTGCCTGTTTCCGAAGAACAGTCAGTTTGTTTCACCGATGCCATTGGCACGAGTAATATGAACGCACTTCGGGTTATCATCAAACGCGAGCATGAACCCATACCCGGGTCCAAGTCCTTTCATGTCGTACATGTTCGGGAAGCTCTTGGGGTCGCCGAAGACCTTCTTGATGGCCGCAAACGTGTTCAAGACTTTCGTGACCGGAGCCGGCTGAGGACGATCAAAGGTATAGTTCTGCGCGATCTCCATCCTTGTCAGGGTCTGCTTCATCTTCTGCGGAGTGAAGAAGGGGAAGCACGAATAGACGGAATTCTATAGACGGGAAAGAATAAGTAGGGCAAAAACAAGGGATAATGACCGAATACAGACGAATGGATAATGCCTCGGGAGGTGGCGAGTGAGCAATTGAGGAACTAAGAACAAGAGTCAGGAAACGTAGTGCAGGATACCCAGAAGAAAAAAAGATAATACGTTTTCCACCAAAGCCGCCGTTGTTGGGGTCACGAAGAGTGTCTGTGAAGCCCCAGGCGGTCAAGTTGGCCGCTAGAGAATCAAACGTCAGATGTGGCGAAGGATTCAGTTATGAGCTCTCTTACGAGTGAAGTCGGTGGTATAGAATCGGTCGCCACGAATCAACGCGATGGCGTCGCCCAGAACAGCTCTGGTCAGCGTGTAGCCAGCAGCGAAACGCAGCCCTGGCGTCAGAGGCATCAGCGCCTCGCATTGGATACCCGTCTGAATTTGTGACAAGATCAGCCATGGAATGCAGGAGAAAACGAAGGTGTCTTACGTAGAGCTCTAAGTTGTCGATATGGCCATAGAGGCGCCTTGCACCTGACTGCGAAGTTTAGAAAGGAATGAGAACATAAAATACAATCTAGCCACTAGTTTGTATACGCACGGCAATGACGGGATCGGGATTCCATTCCTCGAACGATGCAAATGCTAATGAGCACGGTCAGTATCTTGCAACGGCCTACACGCTAACGGAGAGGTCTTACCCTTCAAACCCAAGTACCTAGTATTTTGGTCAGTCATTCGATTTGTGTTTTAACATGAAAGTGCGCGTACCTGCGGAACTCGTTCATGGTGCACACACCTATGCGATCCCAGTCAATAACGAGTCGACATGAAAGCGAAAATATTGCTCACCCCACTTTCTTGCCTGTTCCAAACCCATGACCTCGATGACCTTCATGCATTCTGGTGTTCCCTGAGCACCGTACGAGCATGCTGGAGTCGCCGTCGCCGTTTGGAGGATATTCGCGATATCATCATCCGAGAACTTTCCGTCATCACCACGTTTCAACCTGTACAGCAGTCAGTATGGATGTGGCAAGTAACAAGGGGATGCATACCCATCGAATGTGCGTTTGCTCGGATCGGGTTCAAGGCCGTGAACGATCTCCTTAAAGGCAGTAAGGAAATCCCCTGTGGTGAGCTCGCCGAACGGCTTGTTATGGAAGACCTTGTTGAAGGATTCTTCTGTCCACCTTTCGTCTTCTTTGGACATCGTCGGGTGCCACTGAAACGAGCCATGAGATACAAAACAAGGCACCAACGAAACATGTTACTTACCCTGTAAAGCACATTGAACTCGACGCTAACATGGTTACCTTGTCCTCGCCCGACGAGGATGCCCTCCTTGTTCTTGATTTCCTCTGCAAGATTATCAGAATCAAATGGCGCGCACCATAACAAGTATGAACATACTGAAGGCATCCATGTTCCAAGCGTTGCCTTCTCCAAGACCCAAGAAACCAGCAACATAATCACCCATGATGAGACTCATGAAATGACCGCCGTTGACTAGACGAGCGATCTGGAAGATCTCCTCGTCTTGTTCAGCGCGTTTCTTTTCGTCCTCCGGGGGTGGGTCGCTCCAATTGCCTCTCTCGTTGATTTTGAGGAGCTTCTCCGCGATGAACTGATAGCAAGAACGTGAGCGAGAGCTACGAAGAATAAGTCTGAATCAGCAGCTCACGTTGTGGTTCCGCGATAGGATGACCAAAAGTGCACTGGACGCGGGTGGAAGAAGGAGTAAACGCTCTTCGGAGAACGTATCCGGGTAAAGAAGCCCTCGCCCAAGAGACTTGTTGCGAACCTTGTCCTGGGCATCTTGGTCTAATGCAAACAAGTTAGATGGAGAATCAAGGTGATGTTCGCGATCGACACATACTGATTCCATATACAGGGCTGAGGTCGAGGTAGGAGCTCGTGTTGTTGACTTCCCAGTTGCGAGGGTCGGAGCGGAACAAACTGTGGGTGACGATAGTAGCAAAATGGAATACCAGGGACGAGTTCCCTAGAGATGCCGATCAGCATAAACAAACGAACAAAGTGCGATAAATCATACCTCCGGGATGTTCAGGGTGCTTTAACATAAACTGGTGAGTATCGGTACGATGTGTCGAGGATATGGACAAACCTTAGCACTGCGTTTGAAAAGGGTATCGTATACAAGACTTGCGTCTGGCAAGGCGGCCGGTGTAAGACACCACTTGCCCTGAACGCTTCGCGCATAAGGACGGCCTGCTTGGCCAACAGAGGGGTCTTGGATGTTGTTACCTCCGCCGTCGGCCTGGCGCCACGAGTGGACCGGGCTGAGTTTGCTGGCGATGGGCTGCCGGTACTCAACATCAGAGTGGATGTTATAGTAGCAGCGACAAACTCACATGAGGAATCGTGTTGTAAAGCATGCCGACGCTAGTATCGGTCAGTTTGTTTGCGATTAGGTCGCCTGGTGGTAGACGAGACAGTACGGTAAGTCCAGCAGCGAACTAGAGAGAATCGATGAGCGAGAGGATCCCGACGGTGCGTGTAGCATAGAAAGACCCACAGCGCCTTTACGGTCATCTTCTTCTTCGGGGTTGACTGCCAATTCAAGGAAGCCTTGCTGGAAAAATGAAGTATTATGTGAGCCATAAGAAAATGGAACAGTGAAATATATATAGACTGACGACATGCGCAGGGTTTGGACGAATGAATCCCTTGTCCACCTGACTCTTGACCTGAAAATGGCGTGGTCAGAACAAATTGATGCTAAGCAGCGATGGAGAGCAAACCCGTTTTATGATGTTTGAAACGCCAGAGTGTCCTTCAGGACGCATGTTGGCATCTACGCCGACTTGCCAGTCATAGTGGCCCTGAAAAGGAGGTGCATCAGCGTCGGTAAATTCGCATCAGCGCGTCATAAAAAGCACGTACATCTGGGGAGATTGGAAGAGGACGAGAAGAGAGATAACGTTCGTCCGCACCCAAAGAGAATGCTTGGAGGGGAGTGATGCTGGCCATTGTGAAGGAAGCCGATAAAGGATTAAAGTCGATGCCTGAAAGTACTTATACAAAGCCTGGATAGTTGACCGTCCCAGTCTTCGGATGACACCTCGGACGCTTCTGTATGGATCAATGGAATGTACAATGCCGTACAAAGGCAAAATTAGTGATTCCCATCCTAGGCTCGGAATAGGGGTGCCATCATGTCGCAATGACCTGCTCCAAGCACTCCCACCGGAGTACTTGCATAGCATCAAGAATACGTGGTCGAGCCGGGCACATAGAGTCATAAATTTTGAGTACTTGTTCACAATTTTTGGGAGAATCATAGCGAGTATTTTCTTCTGGCCCTGATCTTGCGAGCAGCAACCGTGCACGTCGGCCAGATGTCTAGCGCAAACGGGCGATGAATGTTACTCTGCGCGTACGGCCGATCAAGGTATGAATGGCATCGTATTCATTGAGCGAGCTCGACAGAGAACATGGAAGAGCGAACAGGTGAGCGTAGCCGATATTAATGGTTTGAACCAAACATGTCGGCGAAGAGTGAACCGGAGACGGTATGTACGTAACCGGCGCCAAATGTGTGGCACGGCAACGGCCTAGGTCTCCTCAACTCCGCTCTTCAACCGCTCTTTGTCTCCTCCGCTTCTTTCTCTCAATTTTGGCACTGCGAGCTGAAATTATATTTTTATCGCTCAAGACTGCTTGCTCATATCTCTTCCAACGACCCAAATATTTTGCAATGCTCCTAGTGTTCAGCACTTGAATTCTTCAGACGCGCAAAGACGAACGACGGATCTCTTACGACTACATAATCATCATCAGAAAATCTGTTGTCATGACTTGATCTTCTGAGGTTCTAATCTGAGCGTACAAGACCACAAGCAATGCTTGTAGATGTGCTTGTCAGATCTGGTCATTTACCGAGATCTTTCAGGGTCTTTTGCCCAACTGTGCACTTCTTATCGAGTACCCTTCTCTGTCGCCTCTAAAGGTTCGTATAAATACAAATGCGTCCGAAGGCTACATCACTACCTGTCGGGTCGGGTAGGAGCTATCTGAGGAGCGGGGTTTCAGAATGACGGTACTGAGCTTCCTGATGAAAGTACTGAACACCTTTCGAGTCGTGTCACCACTACTCTGACCAATAGAAATGTGAGTATATGACAATTCCATCGACCGTACTCCCCTTCACACGTAAAGAAATTATAGCTCAGCCACATTCGATATTCTGTCAATACACAGAAGCGGGATTCCCGAAGCTGTCGAGCACGCTCGGTAAACGAGTGGGGCGATGTTCTCGACGTCGACGAGTGGCGTTGGTCTCACGGTGGGGCTTACCAACCACAGCGGCGCAAACATACGTTGACAGTGGTATCGTTACGATGGGGCAGGCGCGGTACTCTTCAAGGTTTTGCGACTCGCATCGATGAGCTCTCCTTGCTCATCGGATGTCTTCGAGAAACACCCACTTACGCATGTTGCGCCGATGTTGTGCGGACGGAAATGGGTTTTACTTCCTTTCAGTCCCTTCAGTGCTCTGTCGGGGATATGCATGGATTCAGTTGCTCCACCTCGACCCGACTGATGCGAGCGAATCCCAGAAGTGCACTACAGCTTCTTTCAATTACGCGCCCGTGACTTCTAACATCATCCCCTGTTCCATATCTCGCAGAATGAGATGTCGGCAGATGTCGGCGCAGGTCCTCGGAAGTCTAAAACGGTGCAGTGCGAATGACCATGCCTTGCCAGACACCACGGGGAAGAATGGCCATGCATGCTCTTCGAACGAGTTGACAGTGCTTCCATTCATGAGGTCAAGGACACGGTGTGGCGAGCGTGAGGAACACTTGGATAATGCTCTCCGTCGGTGTAATATCTACAATGGGAACTCGACAAATACTACGAGTTTTGAGTCACGAACGAGCCTTTCAGCGAGGATTCTGAGCCAGAAGGTAATTTTATGTCAATATACGCACGAAACATGTTTGTTTTTCATTGGGTTCGCTTGGTTCAATGTCACAAGACAATTTCTTCGTGTGAATTATGTGCACGAGTCAACTGCGCTATCATATGGTGCAGCACTACTCAAATATATGTACATGTCATTCAAACACGGCTACGAACGCTTCGGTTTGAAAGAGGAGACCACCACCACCCAAGTCAAGAACACATCATCGCAAGATAAAGCATATAGTAAAAAGTTCGAAGTCAAAGACATCACGCCGACTCTGCCTCGACGTCGGTAGTAGAGTCTACTCCACCCACGTAGGGTCAACTTGCATCTCCGGACGCGGAGTATACTTCTCCGGCTTGCCGTTCGCCGTCTGGACCAAGTCTGCATCCATCCGGATCTTCACCGACCTGTGTATATTGATCCCTTGCTTCTTCTGCTTAGGGATCTCGCGCGGATATCCCATGTTTACCCTGTACAAAACATCACATCAGTACACATCCCCAGCTAACATCGAGAGCGAGACCAAAAGAAACATACGTATATGTATCGAGCATCAATCGGTCTGGTTTGTTCGACCTGACCTTCATGGGAAGGTACTCCAAGAGCCACCAACCCCAGGCCAGCTGCAGCTGATCATACATTGGGCACAATGCGTCCCTCAGGTCCTCCTCCTCCTCCGTCAACGTGCCATAGTCGCCTGTCTCGCCGAACGCCTCGACCTCCTGATCGACCTCGTGCCCGTGAATGGGAGGATAGGAGACAGACATGATCGGCGGTGGACGGTCGCGAACGAAAGGGTAGAGATGGTCTGGGTCCATGCCGACGTACTTGAAGAGGTCGCGGTGGAATTGGATGCCAGTGTTGCAGCGGAAACATTCGCGGAGCATCCATCTCAATGGGATGCGAGCGAGCGAATGACGAGTTCCGTTCTTGACGGATCCACCGCCAACATCTGGTTCGCAACACAGTCCGCGTTAGCGTCGACGTCGGGCTACATTCATAGACGAAGAAAAAACGAACCACAATGGCAGCCAGCGAACCAGACCTCCTTGACATCCGTCTCGACGTCATAATACTCCGAAAATTCGCGTTCGAGATGTCTGGCCCCCACCTTTTTCCCGGCATGCGAATGTGGGTTGTGGGGGTCCGTGTCCGCGTGCGAGTTCTTCGGTTTCTGGTTCGAGCGGGGCATTTCGCCTGGCTTGGTTCCGAGCTCGTGGACGTGAGGTGGCGTCTTCTGGAAGTGATTCACGCGGAACTTGACACGGTGCTCGTCGAGCGCAATAGCGTGGCGGAAGTAGCGGACTGCGGTGTTGGATGTTGTGAACGGGAGGTGGCGAGGGAAGAACCCTACGGAGGCAACGGTGTCCCTATGAGGAGTCTTGGGTCTCAGTCTGCTGTCCTTGAATGACGGACAGATATAGCTTACCAAACGCCGATGAACTCGATCTCAACGTCCACCGAGAACGTTTTCTTGAAAAGCGTACTCTGCTTCCAACCTTTTTCATTGTCAGAGGTGAACATCTGCCACCATCGTCGGCGCAAGATCAACAGACCGTAATTCAAGATCAGAAAACAATCTACGTACCTTGTACGCGAAAGGCACTTGTTGCTTGTTTGACGCTGGAAGAAGCCCGACCTGAGGAACGAAGCAATCAGCGACGAGGATCGATAGATTACAAAGTCTGAACTGACTTTGTGAATCATTCCGGCTAACGCTCTGGCAGTATACGCTCCTCGAGAGAAGCCAAAGATGCAAATTTTGTCCATCGCCTGGTCTAAGGTCCAACAATTATCAGACGGGAGCATCGAAGATTGGGAGGGACAAACTCACAGTGCTCCATAAGGAATTCATACCCACCTGAAAACCGACAGTCAGATGGTAAGAAAGCTCAGCAACGTAACATACTCACCCATAACGTGAGCATCGAGGTTCTGCGCAATGGCCATATCCATCGTCTTCGAGTACTTTGCGTACGCGGGAGTCGCAATCTGCGGGATAGTGTAGGTCCCGATACCCGCCTTTAAAACATCCATTTCAGTAAAGAAAAACATCTCAAAATCGCTGATAGGCGTACTAACCTGATAATAGACCATCTGCTGACTACGGTCATCCTTCTTGAGCATGGAAAAGAACTGCACAATGTTCGAGTTCTGCACCGAACCACATTAGTAACCAAATAATCGACGTGTAGGATCATTAACACTGACGTCGTCATCAAATTGATCGCCTGTGCCATCGTAACAGACAACAAGGGTGCGGTAGTCATGGGTTGGTGGAATCACAGTATCATCGTATGTGGAACCGCCGTAGCCTCTGTCTTCGCTTAAGTCGCCACCAGGAGAAGAGACGGTAGATGAACGAGAGGGCTTAGGTCTTTCTTTAGAAGTTGTGCCGTTCACAGTATCGCTAGCGGTGCGAGTGGGCATTTCAGGAGCGGGTGACATGGTATGAGAAGGGGGAAAAAGTTGGAGCAGTGCTCATCAATGGATGAGAGCTATTTACCAATCGCCAAACGAATTGATAGCTTCCAGGCATGTTAGGCGCTTACTGACACCGTTCCATGGAAGTCAGGATCAAGAAATCTGCATGAAGCGAAGATACTGAGTGACTGTCAGATGTGATCCAAACAAGTTCGTTTGTGGGCGGTTGTGAGAGCGATGATATTCCTATTGGGCAGGCGAAGCGAAGAGCACCACCGCTCCGGAAGCATGACTGGCCGGAAGCGCATCTGGTGGAAACATTCAAGGAGATGCTAACAGGAGCATCTTGAGAGGGAAGATGACAGTCCGTACTTGTCGAGAGCATTTACGCCGACCTCGCAAGACAAAAAAACGCTCTGGGGCCTAGTTGACGTGTATTGCTGGGCCCCTATGTGGCGTTGATCGTCTTGGTGGACTCAACAAGCACCCTATATTCCAGACCGTCAACTCCATTGCGGATATGACAGAGACTGATATGAGGATAAAGAACCAAATAGCGAAAGGCAAGCTCCTTGTTACCAGGACAGGGTGACACCAGTGCATGTCATGATCTAAGAATTGTTTCTGCCACTGATGTCGATAAAGCCCCTATGGCTTAAAAATGGATACAAGCTCGGCGCTGACCCAATCATGCTCAAAAAAAAACTCAGCCACATCGTTTTATTACGTATGATCCAGTAGCAGAGAAGCGATGCCATGTCAATGAACGTACGGAGTGTCTCGAGACAAGCCAGGGTAACGCATCTCCAAACTCGGGGGGATGTAGCAAGCGCGTTAGAAGACTCATTTCCGGCCTTCCTGGAAGCGTACAGCGACGCTTGAAGAAGAAGTATCTGAAAAAGCATAGACAGAGGAGGCGTCATACAGAATCGCCCCGTCAAAAATCATGCGACCCTAATAGGTAATAAGTTTCAGCATACGACAAGCAATACCGACTGCTTCGATGCATACTCCGTGCCTCCGACAGACACCGCCAAGTTTTGACAGCTTGCTCGCTGGCAAATGAAAGTCGGGGATAGCAGGAGGGCAAGTTATACGGAGGACGATACCGTTGTTCAATGCACTCATACGTACATTGGAGAATATATTGGAGACCCTACCGGTGACCGTTAGTGGACGTGATACACGATTACCAGCCCCGGAGATCAAGTTAATGTCGTCCGAACACAGGGCAATACCGACGATGGCGGATCCAGGACGAACTGCCCTGCGTGCCTGTGGATCCTACACTCCATTCATGGCATCTATTCACGCTGTACTCTTATACACCGTTCCGCTGTCTGATACACTTTCGAGGGCTAGAATCCGATGGCTTTGACAAACAAGGGGTTTGACCAAGGTTTGACAGTTGTTCAAGGACTCCTGGATGGGTGGCGCGGGGATCCGCGGAATGCACAGGCCTGCAGCTCTGTGATGCAGAGGATGGAACTTGAAGGCTTTGCCTTCGTATCGTTCAAGACACGGTTCAAAAACGACAATCGACGAGTCCTTAGACTCGCATTCGAGTCAGGCAGGTTCTAGGCGATGTTTCACTGGTAGGATGGCCACCAGCATGACAACCATGATTCGTGACGACTCTCCTTTGCACTGGCGTAGACAACTGGTTTGCGAGCTCAAATCGCTCAAGATTGACCAGAAGAGCGATATCGAGATCATTCTGAGGAGCAGAAAAGTCGAGACCTTCGCATGCCTGCTCTACCTCGTTACATTGGCCACCAGCCTCCTCTTTTGGTGCTGTGGGAACAACTTCGTCAGCTTCGTCTACGCGCCACCGCATCCAGAAGTTCTTAAGCAGCTGGGAAGGTGCACTTTGGCGTACTCTCTGATCTCGCGATATGATGAATGTCGAGTGTATCATCGGCCGTAAAACTCGCCAGATGAGAAGTGTTAAGGGATTGGGCACACCATGCGAATTAGATTGTAATTGACCGACAGCTCCATCTCTGCTGGGAGGTCGTTAACACAGTTGCGCAAGTTCATGCCAGTGGATTATACTGAAGAGAAGATCAGATACAAATGCGACCACGAAGTCTTGAGGACAGCGAGTATGCTGCATGCCATGGTTAGGGACAGGAACATGATGATGAGACTCTTTAAAGGACTCAATCCACAGAGGAATGCTGTAAAATTCCATCCGTCTTGTGCAGAGTAAGCAAAGCTGTTGGGAGTGTCGACAGAATGAGTAGTCATAAGAAGGGCAGGCGAGGAGGAAAGGCAACGGAAAGGACGATTAGACCGCGCGGCGCGAATCTTGCACGACACAGCGGAGTTTCAATAATTACGTTACATAAAATGCCACGTTGACTCGACGCGTGTTGACCCGATCGTCGACGTCCGAGTCGTCCTGAAGCGCGATATTCATTCTGCTTTGTACACCCATATGCATGAAGGTACCCACTGGACAAAATAGAGCTGTCAAAGCCTCACGTGCGCGGCTGAGCCCGCTACCTCTTCAGACTATATCGAAGATTTCAATCTTTAACAACTCGAAACTCGAGGTCTTGAACTCGAGCCGCCTTGAACTTTACAGTATTGCGGCTTCACTAGAGGCAATGGGTGGTCAATTGTATTCAATCTATACCTAATCATGGAACGTGTATTGATTCTTGGAACATCCTGGTTCCGTGGATCAATTTCGTCGTATCCTTTCTCTGCTTTAGTAGATCAGTTACAGTCGTATGCCTTTCTTCAAGTTCGGGGCTCAGAACTCAGTGTTCACACGTAAGAAATTTAGAGACACTTTCAAAGTGTGGATAAGTACGATACCATAAATAGTAGTGCATAACTAATAGATACAATTGTCTGGTGGGATACTGCCAAGATGCTGCTGTATGAGGCGAGAAAGTATATATCGATGAAGTTGAACAAAGGAGCGTAATGAGACGTTCAAGCGTCCACAACTGGGCGGAAGGCGATGCTTTAAGGTATACAATAGTCTCGTCATCAAATGAAATAGTGGTAGCAAGTCGAGACGACTCACGTTGTTCGGATATTTGGGGAGCAGTGATAACCAAACCACATATCTGGTTTTTTATGTCCATCACCTCCAATCTTCAACTCGTAATTGAGTACGATGTGAAGCATCAGGGCCTTCAAGACGTGCGAAGCCAAAAATCTTCCGGGCTATAAAATAGAATACAGGATATTGATCGCGGCGATCAGGAGAAAAAACATTCGAACGTACACTGAAGTACAACGTCAGTTAACACTACAACTCGAATTCTGATATAAAAAGGTGCTCGTACCATGCATGTTTTCCATGTCCAAAAGGAAGAAAACCTGGGTTGGTCATGATCATGGCGCTTTTTTCCACCGAACTATTGGTGGTCACAAAACGGTAGGGATCAAACGTTTTCGCGTCCTCGTAGAATCTATCGTCCACATGAGGGGTGAACGCAGCGGATACCATGGAACCCTCGGGGACAACAGTACCATCGGAGAACATGAAGGGTTTGAGCGCCTTTCTTGGGAAGCCCACTGTGTGTACAAATTGAGCACATATATAAGTGGCAACAAACACACGGGGGACATACTCGAGCCAATCCCGTACAGTCTCATCGATTCCTTGAAGAAACTGTCCATCAAAGGGAGGTTACGCATGCATGTTCGGGTCCATCCATGCTTTCTCAAGGTGCGCTCCGCTTCCTCCTTCAGTGGTTGCACATATGTCGGATGAGTGGCCAGAGCAAGTAGAGCCTGCACGAATGTCTAGACGTGATATGTTAGCACTTCCCAAGAACCCTGAGGCGCGCACATACTAGTGACGTTCCATGGATCGCTGCGGCATTGATAGCTAAAATGCGGGTCTCTAGAGATCTTGTTTCCCGTTCACTGCCCACCGCAGCATGGAGCAGCCAGGATAAAACATCATTCTGAGTGGAATTTGTCAGTTAACGCTTCGAAACCAAGAGTAAAGAGTGCCAGTCTCACAGGCTCATCCGACCATGAGAGGGACTGCATCGTCAGTTTTCTCTCTTCGATGGCAGGACCAAGGACCCTAGAGACGGCACGGCCCCGAATGTTCTGCACGACAGAGAAAACATGCCCGACGATCCTGTATCAAAACGAGTCAAAAACGACCTTGTGGGGTACCGAGATTACAGTGAGGCTGTGACTTACGGACGAAATACGCGTGGAAAAATGTGTATAACTGAGCTCATGAACATCACGTTATTCACCGTGAAGCTACGAATAAGTCGATTGTATTCCGCATCACGACCTGCCATTCGTAGTTTGTAAACTTGGAAACATTGGAAGATATCTTTGACGCTCACAGAGGGGAGCTCCGACTATGATTCGGCTGAATGAGCGCGCCATGACTTGGGTGATCCCGTCGACAATGTTGACCTCGGTCCAACCAGAGCTTGCTGATGTTCATCAAAAGATCGGCATATATTTATAACGATGATAAATAGAGAAAGCCCACCTTCGCTACGGTGCCCTATGACTTCGTTGAATGCTGGGATGATCTCGTCCAGAATCTCCCTTGTGAGATGATCCAAGTGACGAGTCAACTAGAGCATAAACAAGTGAGAGATCGTCGCAAATCAGGACATACTTAGGATACTTTGACCTACTCCAGCTGCCAAAAGAGGTACATGGTAAGGATTTGAGTGTACTTCCGGAGCCATTGTGTACGAGATCTGTAATTCCTATATCACACCAAGCAATTGAGCCATGATACAAGTAGTCCGTGAGGACAACGCTACATACGTCATGTGCGGAATGAGTCAGCGAAAGTACGTCGTCGGGCAGTTGGTGAAGTTCATCCACTGGAATTAATGCATGTGTCAGCTACTTCTATCATCGCATATGGGTCAATCAGAAGGGTATACGAACCTAAAGTGTCTCCGGTGATCAAGACCAGCCATCCGGACCATCTCGGGATAACAAAAGCCTTTCCAAAATGCTTCGGAGCCATCTTCGTCAGAAAACATCGTGGTCTATCAAAGGATGCTACCATAGGACATACTTTAAAGTAGCCTTCGTTGATAAGGCCTTGTGAGTTGTAAAGGAAGCGTAGTCCACATGCATGTGACCACAACCAGTGTGGCCGATGAAGAAGCGGAAGGAAAGTCTGTCGGATCACCAAAATCAGTATGTCCTACCTGTGAAAGCTAGTAACATCATAAAATGAAAGGACATGTTACGCACTGGGGTAGTTAGAATCGATATCACGTAGACCACGAGCCGCATGTTGATCGCGAAAGCCAGCAGGAGAACCCATTCATTCATGCATAGTTCTAAGAAATGAGCGAGAAGATATTTTTGAGATGGGTAAGGAAATGATCCAATGGTCCGTATGTCTGTTGTGGTGTTCATCGCAGAGGGAAGTGAGTCTTTAAAGGCCTTCGAAGATCGCTTATATATACCCGTGATCCACCAGTCATTCACGAAAACAAAAAGCAAACTCTCGAAAGATACGCCTTCCCACAAGTATCACGCTTTCCATCCGTGCCTTGAAACCTATGTGAAGAGCGTGTCCAACCTCAATCATGCTTTCATGACGCCCCGCTCATGTTTTCCACCGGAGCCGAAGCAAAAGATGTACTGGAATATGAGCCGAGACGATTTATCAGATCAACACGAGATTCGGAAGTTCCTTGAGAAGTCGGCCACCACCATCATCCACATGAGCACATCAGAAGAAGAGACAGGCCTCAGTAGCACGATTGACCTAGAATGGCTACCTGTGGAGAGGTAACAGCTGAGCGCGCACAGCAGACAATTTTACATCAGCCTGTATGTGATCTGTGCATGATGTATCACCTGAAGATTGGGTGCCATGAATCCTATGAAGTAGATGCTCACCTCCGGTTCATCTCGTAAAGGGAGCCTTATGTTGAAAACTCTCCTTGAGAGACCCGAATCATACATCGGTCCTCGGAGTTGTTGAATCTCGACAGGCGGCGGATATCCACTGCTGGCAATCCTCCTGAGGCTGTGGTTGCCTAAGAGAATCCAAGAGTGCTTAGGACAAAGCTAGCCAGCCAAAGAACATCTGTCAAGTTCGGAAAAGATATACACTTCACATGCAGAATGGGCTGAAGAATGTCTTCCGGTGCGATCCTGAACCTGTAGGTAAATCAGAGCCACCTCGGGATAGAACCATGAGCGCTGGCCGGAAGCCATGGACAAAGACCCGGAACCGCACCGAGCCACGCACTTATGCGCCGAGCCGACGGCACCCGTCGGCGTGGCGGCGCCACATCAACACCAGTCAGTCACTTGATATTGGTGCGTGTCTTGTGAGCTCATTGGAGAATGCATGCGAGTCCAAAAAGACTAGTATCCACCCACATTGCATAACGTATGGACGCTTTAAACTTGACATGGTTGTTACACCATAGAAGTCAGTAGATTATGAACGTGGATTGAACGTGGAGATGATCATTATCATGCCCCTCGCCCAACAGCCTCATCACCTAGCGGACAGCCAGTCCTATTCTTTGGCGGTAATCATGTACCTCAGGTCTACCTATTGATGTTACAAATGTTGAACACATTGCCACATCCTCGTATACACGCTACTCAACAGCCCTCTTCCATTACACAATCTGATGGGTCAACAAACAGAGAGAGACTGATTGGCGCCGTATGAATCCACATTCTGTCCGGAGCTACGGTCTGCTGCTCGGAATGAATGCGTGCGTAACTCCATGTCAGTCGTCAATGTATTTGTACCGTGACGAACATGACTACGCAGATTTAGTACCAAACGACAGGACTGGAGAAACAAAAGAAGTTAGCACCCATGCCAGTTTAACAGGTGAACTTGGTGACAAACCAAAACCGAGTATGTTGCCATAAGCCACCTACAACACATGCAACCTTAGCGCATCAAACACCAATTTCGTTCTGGTTGGAACTTACGCGGTACCCATCTGCGAAAGTGAACGGCTAGCAAACCCAACTGTGAAAACGAGATTGATCAAGACTGCGACTACATAAAACAAGGGTCAGTTGCTTTCCGCTATAACATAGATACGAGAGTATGGTTACCGAACACCCTGAGAGGAGGAGGATGAATCATGTCCGGCTTCAATTTCCAAATGCAAGACAGAAAGACAGCTAACTCACGCCAAAAAGTATATGGTCCCATCTCTGAAGAATAGAGAAACCATTGGACTGATGTGTCTCAGTTCAAGAGACCTCAGAGAAGACGGATTTGGCCCGGCCGCGCTCCTCATAAACTTGACAAAAGTGAGAAAGAAGTATAATACTAGCCACTCGATTAGCCCTAGAGATGTGAGCATATTGACTGTGTACACTAACAAGACAAACAAAGCGAAAACGCCCTGCACCACTTTTGAGAACGAATATCAATGCGGACGGTAGCAGAGGAGACTTACCAGCTAATCGTCGAGAGTTTGACATCATTGGGGCTAGTGGCAAGACATCCAGGGATAGGAAAGTTGAGCGGCCGTTCGATGACTGTGAGCGATGAGACCTCAAGACATATGAACACCGCGCTGAGCTGAAGCATGTTATGTATCTGTAGAGCGGGGGAAGAAAATCGCAAATAATCTTACCGCGACTTCGACTGCGGTGACGGGGATGTCAGAGCATGTATCGCGCAGGGGATGGAAATAACAACCACGTACTGCTCAGAGCAACGAATATAAGGACTAGAACTATCAGTACATGTATCAGTCAGAAAAGCGTACTGTACAATATGGGCTGAATTTGACTGACTCTTACGGCTCTGCTGATACAAGGCCCAAATACGAATCGCGAACAAACTCTCCGCGAGAACGGTCGAGATAAAAGGGCCATTGCTAGCAGTTAAGGAAAGAGAATGTCAGTTACCTCACAAGATGCTTGGCCCAATTGACTCACAACCCTCTGAACCAAAACCATCCTTGACAACTGCAAATATATAAGAGTAAGCTTGGCAGACATCCGAGTCGTTGACTTCACGTTCGGAGACATACAACTGCAAATGAGCATAAGCGTATGGTCTCATTCATGCTATGACGTTCTGGGAACACCGACCTTGAGAGAAACAGTCGTATTCGTATTGACTACATGTAGTTAAAGCGTAAAATAATTGTGAGATAGTATTTCGATGAGGCCCGGGAAACAAAGAACTTACCTGCAACGTGGATTCTGAAGAGTCAGTCTTGTCAGCTACGCACGGGATTTAGATACAGAGTAGAGAACCTACGCCAAAGTGAACAGGACATAGTACCTCGCGAAGAGATATAGGATCTTTATCTTCGACCATTTAGACCTATCAGCATGTCAACCACGATGAGTGCTTTGTAGTACCCAGTAGGTACGAGACTAGTCAAGTACCTCCAGATTTGATCTATCTGTTCCACATGTCAGGCTTTAGTAGTATAGGCAAAAGATCTCACAAATATATGCATGCCTCGTTTCCAAGCGTGAGTACCACATCGTAGACGAGCCAGGCGAGAGCGGCTCCTGCATAGAGACCATGATTCAGACCAGAATGAAATCAGGCAACGCTTACAGAACCCACGACGTGAGAGCCCTACCTGACGCAAGATTAACCGCTCGAGTATCACTGACGGAGAGAACGACAGCATCGAGGGCATCTTGACTGTTCTGAGTGTCGGACATCGTTGGTTAGTGAGGTGATCCGGATTGAGAAGACGCGTTAAAACCTGATGGTACTATATAATACTGGTACTTCTTTCGAAGTGTTACTTCGGTCCATCGATATGATCTTCCGAGCGTGAAGGACTATTCTTGTGGGAACTTGTAGCTATAGCGGCATAGATCAACACCAACGAAGTAGTACTTCGGGGTGTGCACTAGTACGAGAACATTCCGCGCTTCGGGCTCGTTTTTTCTGAACCTCGTCGACGACTCCAACCAAGTCCGAGGCCCAATCATCACTGTGATTGAGTTTCGGGGCTTCGAACACAGGGCTGAAACGCAGGAAAGCTAGGAGGACATCAGAAGCGTTGAAACAATACGTGCGACCGAGGAGAGCGAGCCAGTGGGTGCAGGTGGGTGCCTGCCTGAGGTGTGAACAGAAGACCGGAAGGTGGCGAGCGCCTGGAGGGAGCGCTGAGCGCTGAATTCCGGGCACCACGGTGATCCGTGCAGTCGGCTGGGTATCTGATCGCAGCATCAGCTGCTGGCACCCACCCTCATCATATTACAACGCCCAGATCCCGCCCTCACTTGCTAACAACTGCCTCACTGGTCGGGGCGAAACGCTTCGTTTGTACCGCATGGAACGAGCATGGGAATAGAATGAAATGGAAGAGTACCCCTGCTTCTGTCCGCTGCTTCTTGGGTAGTGGGTACCGTGTAGGCGCTTGTTGATGGGAACATCGACGAACTCTCTGAGGATATGAGTACGACCCACTCATCTCGAGCTCTCCCAACATTCAAGTAATCCAAACCTCACTTCCCTTCCTGTCAACTGCAATTCCATCATGGGTGCTACTTCAAGTACATTATGGATTATGCTGTCTGTCTTGCCCATTCTCTTGATCGTCCGCCGACGTCGAACCAGCATCGCGCAGATCAAGGGCCCTGCGTCCTCGTCATTTGCACTGGGTGAGAAATCTGCGCCTTTCATGCTGTTTATCTCCTGAAGATTGTTAGGCCATCTCTATGAGTATCATAGTGTACAGGTTGGCGAACAGGACTTCAAGTGGCAAGACGAGTACGGTGGCGCATACAGAATAAAGGCACTCCTTGGCGTAAATGATATTTCTGCAGACCAGTATTTCACAAGTCACTGATGGATGCTTTTGTCAGGCCGACCGCCTTGTTTTGGCTGATCCGAAGGTACTCTCTACGCCCAGGGTCTATTCGGTCAATCGCTTGCTGATTTTCTCCCCAACATGCAGGCGTTGCAATATGTATGTGCATCTCTGGATAGTCACTTCCTCAAGCCTGTGATCCGGAAAGAAATATCGCGGATGCTACTTGGAAGGGGAATTGCCTGGGCTCAAGGTTGGTCTTCACATTTATCGTAGGCTTCTACATGCAGACGATCCGTCGTCACTTTCAGGTTTAGATCACAAACGACATCGCAAAATCATGGCGCCTGCTTTTGGAAACCTTGAAAGTCGTGCCATGATGCCTTTATTCAGGGAGACGGCGAACAAGGTAAGTTTGTTTTTTTGCGAAATGTTTAGACAGTCGACTGACCGACATCAATAGATGTGCGATAAATGGCGAAGTTTGGTGGATGTCTCCGGTAAGAGCTCCACGGTGATTGAAGCAGCAAATTACATCTCTCTGGCGACATTGGATGCATTGGGTATTGGTGAGTCTGGTACCGTCAACGATACTATGCTGTCTTTACTGAGGATCACGGCTCATAGTGGCTTTCGATTATGAGGTGCCTCGTTCAATTTGTCTTCCCTGACTATGCACAAACTGACAGCAATCAGTTCGGAGCTTTGGATAACAAGGAGAACGAGCTCGCGAAGAACTATCGAGGCCTATTGTGGGCGCTTTCCTTCTGACTACTGCACTTTCGTCTGAGATTTTCCGTCATATTTTTATGCGTTTAGTGTCGAAGCCTTCACTCTGCCCAATCCGACAAGGGTCTTCCTGCAACATGTGCTCGTATATCTACCGGAGTCCTTCTTCCACATCATCGAACATCTTCCGATAAAAGGCCTCCAACGCCTGCGCGCGATACTAGACCAGAGTACCCGTGTCGCTAAAGAACTAGTGGAACAGAACTCAAACACTATTTCTAGTATGGAGCGTAACAACATGTTGAGATTGCTTGGTGAGTCTCATGAGGCGCTGATTCGTACACGAGGCTCATGTTCATTTCTCGTATAGTGCAGGCCAACGCGTCCGAGCAGTCAACGAGTCGTTTATCTGACGAAGAGCTTCTTGCACAGATGAGGTGCGCTGATCATGCCATTACATGAATGGCTTTGCTGAAAGATATCGTCTATAGGACAATTATGGTCGCTGGTCGTGAGTATCTTATGCGGCGTCTAGGACACTAAAATTCAAGCTACCGACACTCATCCAACCCTTGTCAGACGAGACGACAGGGAACACCATTGCTTTTCTTCTCTACGAACTAGCTCGCCATTCAGATGTCCAAGACAGATTAAGGTCTGAAATTCAGGAGGCATTGACGATAGCCCGGGCCCGAGGAGATGATGACCTTACGATGGCCGACATGGATAATATGAAGTACGCTCTTAGTGTGGTCAAGGTATGTGGTTTCCCTTCTGTACTCTCCAGGATCTAGTATCTGAGCTCACCTGTTTCTGGATTACCGCCGTAGGAAACTCTCCGCTACCACCCTGTAGTGTACGGACCTTTTGTGGAGACAATGCAGGATGAGGTTATACCATTATCACAGCCTGTCGAGACAGCGACTGGGGAGGTTATCTCCGAGATCCCTGTAGGCAAGGGACAGATGATTCATCTTTCTTTGTGCGGTTATAATCGGTGCGTGCTTGATTCGTCGGATACCGTTCATATGTGTGTCTATTGCTGACGAGAACTCTTGGCTCTATAGGTTGAAGTCGGTCTGGGGTGAGGATGCCCATGTCTTCAGACCAGAACGGTGGCTAGAGCCGGGAACAGAGAGCCCCATTTCGTTCGGGATCTACTCTGGCCTGTACGTGACATCATACTCGTGCTCCTCAGATTTGTGCGTGCTTACTGTGCTCTTGCAGTGCAAACTTTATTAGCGGGCCGCATTCCTGCTTGGGGTGTGTTTTTCTCTTTCTTCTCTGCCGATAGGTCACTCAATGCTCTACTTTTACACTTATGTCTCCCAGCTGGCGCTTCGCGTACGTGTCTGCTATTTCTTTCAGTTATACCTGGACCACTAGCTCATATCTCTCGATGCAGGATCATCGAGATTCAAACCTTCATGATTCAGGTGGTTCGGAACTTCAACCTTGCATATCCGAAAGACGCGCCTCCCATTTTCAGAGCCGTTAGTGGTGTGATGGCACCCGTGTTGTACAACGAGTTAGGTAAAGGGAAGCAGCTTCCTCTCGAGCTGACACTAGTAGAGGGTTCTTAGATGCGGAGATTCCACTGTATGACAGCTTCAATTTACATAACGTTTCGTTGCCGCACTCTCTATGAACCCTTGAGGGTTTCGTACTGCGATATCATATCAGTTCTTATTCTGTGAATATATACTTTAGCGTATACTGTACTTTTTCGACCAGACGTTCATCAGTGGCGTGGGAATATGACTGTCCTAATCCAGGATGTCCACCCGTGCAGGTTCAAACTCGGGAGGGGACCGGGGACAGCATGTTCAGCATTCATGTTTCGTTACCGGGTGGAGGGCAATTTGCCGAACCTGTGTAAGTCACCTAGCAACCCACTCCATATTTAGCACATTTTGACAAAGAGCCTATTCAACACTGCTATGGCTGTTCGATGACTGCTCGAGTTTGCCGTCCTGCATGTCGACAACAGCTCGATCTTCAGCTCCTCGCCGAGCACTCCGCGCGCATAGTCTCGAAAAAATTGCTATAGAATATACTGAGGAGGTGTGTATCCAGCTCAAGCTATTC